GTATTGTCTGTGAGCTCTGGATGACCATTACAATGAATTATTAAACCTAGCCCCAGAAGTAGAGTGCTGTGGGAGGGATCGTTGGTGTCAGAACAGGGTTAACACTGCTGACTGACTATTTCAAGCCCCAACTATCCCGTGCAGCTGACTTCTATAAAGACCTGTATTGCTTTCAGGCTTTGGAACTGCATAAACTAATGTAAGTGCAAACATGAGCTAACTTGTGACCAGCTGGCAAAGCTTAGGCAGGAAAACACAAGTTAACTCTTGACCAATCATGTGTTAAGAAGGATGGAGGGTGGGGGAGAGCAGGGAGGGAGGGGAAAAAATGAGGACCTGATGCCAGGGGCTTAAGTGGAGAGCAAATGTTTTGAGAATGATGAGGGCAATGAATGAACAAATGCACTTTACACAATTGATGTGTGTATGGATTGTGATAAGAGTTGTATGAGCCCCTAATAAAACGATTTAAAAAAGAAGAAGAAGAAGGGTAGAGGTGAAGAAGGCACGTATATCAGACTCCTGCCTTGTAGAAGTCTTGGGTGCAGGAGGAGGTCATCTGTGGCCCATAAGCTGTTTCCTCGCTATACAGCAGGGAGGAGGAGAACGCTATCAACCTTAACTGTTGAAGGCTGCTTTCTGGGAGGATGAGGTCAGATACCCTCCCACCCTCCTAATTGTCAGGAGGATGCTTCATTCACAAGGCTGCAGAAGCTGGTGAAGTCGAGTCAGGTGAGAGGCCAAAACTCAAGTCCCAAGAACCAGAGGCCAGGTAAAACCAAGCTAGGTGGTAAAGGACAGAGAGGGAGAGAGAGAGAAAGAGAGAGAGAATCCAGTCTTACTTGCTTCAGCATATGCTCAGTTGGCAAGGGGAGGTCATGTAGATAGGATTGATGGAGGGGTGGCTTTTGCCTTCTACCTCCAGGTGACTTGAGTCACACCCTCTAGTACAGTGGTTCTCAAGCTGTGGGTACTGACTCCTTGGGGGTTGAACGACCCTTTCACAGGGGCCACCTAAGACCATTCGAATACACATATTTTCCAATGGTCTTAGGAACTAAGACACCGCTCCTCTATCTGTCTCCAGGCGGGTCTGCCCACATGCAGATACGCCCACATACGACGCTGGTCTGAAAGGCAGGTGGTGCCTGTGGATTCCCAAGCTTACAGCTGATCACCAATTAACCTAGCCTGGATGGCTAGGGCTGAGACAACCAGAATCTGACCAATGAGGAAAGAGAGATATTTGACAACTAGTTGCTAGAGTAAACTGCTGAAATTTGATGGTTTGCTCTGAATTAAGTTTGCTTATTGATGCAGGTGGCCAAATTAACAAATTGAAATGAAAATTCTTTGCATTAGGAATTGTGCTTAGCTCTTATCTTCTCAGCATACAGGGCTGTTGGGGATTTAGAAACTGGATGTCTAAAATGGGTGGAGATAAAAGCTTGAAGTGGCTGACTGACAAGCTTTTAGGGGTGTGTCCAAGGGAGACGGTCATTTTCAAGAATGAAAAGGACAATGGCTAGGAGAGGCCTGACATCTACCCTGTTTCCTCGAAAATAAGACATTGTCTTATATTAGTTTTTGCTCCCAAAGATGTGCTAGGCCTTATTTTCAGGGGATGTCTTATTTTTCCATGA